TGTTATAAATTCTGCTGGATATGTATGTGTGTGCAAAATTGTGATTAGAATAATATATATATCCGATTGTATATTTATAGTAGGGGTAGGCAGAAGTGCACATTACGGCAATTAATGCCCTTGTACATTGTAGCACTCACTTTTCACTATGCTATGAGTCCCATGAAATAGGAGGTGAGCCTATTGCAATACATCGGGCACAATTCCAGACTCGTGCTACTACCGAGATTTTTTTACAAACCTAGTAGTACTTTGCCCGATCCGGGAATCGAATCTGAGACCCCTTGTCGCAGTTACGACCACTCGCCCAATAAGGCAGTCAAAAATTTAATAAATGTAGAGGATAAAAGTAGTTTTAAAGTATAATGTATGTAAATTTAAAATATCATCCATTATTCATATACATTTATTATATCGGCAATATTTCAAGCGTCGCCTGCGCTATCTCACAGATGGCGTGTTTAATGAAAAAGCAATTTGGCTTGTGTAGTGTATTGATGTTCTTAACACTAATGTCAGTTTATTTCTCTTTTTTAATTGAAAGAAATTAATGATTGATACCAACATGTTTTATTAGTAAAATGTGTTACACTCATATTATTATAATCTATGTAGGATTCAGTAATATCTCGTGTTTGGGTCGCATGTTGTTAGTGTGAATTTAGTCTGCATCTGAAAAAAATAATTGTTTCTTTATAATTAAGTATGTTCTTTTTGTCGTTATGATTCTATAAAGCGCAATGCTCATCTGCAGTATCCAGAACTTTAGAAATCAGGAACCCCAATAATAAATAAAATGGTTTGATGATATAATTGTAATTGGTCTCACCGGATGGTTTTACTTTCCACCACCAGCGCCGCCACCTGCACCTGCGCCGGCGTTAAATCCGAATCCCATTTCACCACCAGCTCCAGCACCACCATCAGGGCCACCACCGCCTGATAGGAATGTTTATTAATTTGAGAATTTGATGACTTTTTTTTAACCATTCACGGAACCACAGGGTCCCGGTCATTTGGGAGGCGTACGAGGGGCCGAAGCCAACTGCGTAGAGACACACAAACCGGCCACTATCCCTGTATATACTATGGAAATGCACCCAAGGACAGTCCCCGGTTAGTGTAGAACTATTGTGGATAATGGAAAAAAAAGGTAGGGCTATGGATGGGTTGCTGTGGACCGGAAAATTGGGAACTATGAATGACTATGGCACCTGCCGAAACAATGTAATTATTACACGTAAAAATGGCAGGCGGAGACTCGCCAACTCGCCGACCGGGCCCCGGGAATGGTTGCTAGATATAGCAACAGAGGGGCAACGAGAATGTGAGTGGCTGAAGGGTTAAGAAACTACCACCGCTTTCTACTCAGATCATCTGCTCCAGCCGAAGTCTCCTGCATCCCTATATTTATTATTACAATCTCAACTATAGCCCTGTTTCATTTCCAATAAATCCACAGTTTCTTACACACCCTGTAAGACAACCTAAGCAGCACGTTTTTTAAAACTTACTAGGATGAAGTAGTGAATTCGTTAGTTAAAGACTTTACGGGGAATTCAAAACACCCAGTTTTGATACCTTATAAGTAATGAGCAGATACTAGCATACCGGGGCTCCGGCTCGAAGTGCAGGAGTGGGAACGGGGTGGTTTTTAGTCAGTAGGAGTCTAACACTCCACTAACCTCCTGCCACATTCAGGTGTGACTAGCCATTCGATGATTTTCCCCCCTTAAAAAAAATTGCATAGCTGTCACGTTTCCGTGGCATAAACCTACCACCAGCGCCAGCGCCGCCTCCGAAGCTGAAACCGGCGCCTCCTGAAAATATTAATGGACACCATATAATATGCACTTGAGTACTTGACTACCTTGCCGTGATTTAACAATAAACGCTTTGACTCTTACTTTAATTTATTAAATGGAAATGACTGATTATTGTTTGATTGTTACCAAATATTAAGGGAGTGATTAACAGAGGTACCAAGTAGACCATCGATTTCGTTGGTACAAGGTTCATTGTTCATTGATTTATGGTATAGGACAGTGTTTGGGGACTCCAAAAAATGTATTAAACTACCATTCTGGATGATGGAAGTGGTAAAATCTTTGACAAATGACCATATTTGTTGAATATTTGGAAACTTGCCTCCGGCTTCACCGCCTGCACCTTGTTGCATGCTCTGAAAAATAAAAAATAAAAAAGTAGAAAATCAGTATCCTGCGATCAGCGCTTCCCCTCATTAGATAATCTATCCACCTGGATGGACATTCTAGACGAGGCTTGCTAGCCATAAAACAAAGCAAATATTAATGTTATGTATCACTAGAAAACTTACGTCTCCAAACATCAGGACGACAAGCACAAGCAGAATTAGTTTCTTGAACATTTTTGTCCAGGTATGGTCACTTCGCGCTACAAATTATGGAACTGCGTGTGGACAAAGTAGGATTCTGTATTTATATGACATGATGACTATGTAACATGCAACTAACTCGTAATATATTGACGTAGTATGTGATGCTTCTGATTTTATCTTTCAAATTATGATGCATAAACGTGTACGTAGTTGATTGAAAGAATGGATATGGTGGTCTTTTTTTTGTAAATTTGTTTTAGAGTTAGGGCCTTGATCCTATAGGGCGGGGGGCCTGCCGTATTTTTGCCCACCGAAATGGCGGTAGTGTGAACCTCTCGTTCTTCATCCAATAGGGAATTAGCTAGTGTCACACCATTGGACGTTCGATATTTGACAACTACAGTGATTGGACAAAAACCATGGGTGAGCAAAAATACTATAGGCCCCATGTATTTATCTCTTCTTCCCCATTCATCCCTTCTAATAATATGTCTCTGTTTTTTCTTATTGTTAATTTTCTTTTTTTGTTACACACTGTGTCTGATGTCGTAATTACTTTTCCTGTCTCAGGTCTACGAGAAGATAATTTTATAAATTTGTTGTTCTCTGAGCTGTTTGTGTGTGCATAAATAATGTGTAAGTTTAATCCCGATTATATTACAATTTCTCTGATACAGGATAACAGTTGTGATGTTTTTTTTATGAGATAAGCTGATCGATGAGCCTTCGTATCATCTGATACCCATTCGCGCCGAAGCTCTCCCACATTTGATTTTGTAAGACAATAACTTATACCTACTATAAGCACATAATTGTCGTAAAACCTATTTTCATACTTAAACTTGGAAAACTTTTTCTTCTATTTCACTGTAGCGACCGTCTCGATGTTTATGGAACTATAAAGAATATTTATACAAATTAGTTTCCTATATGTTTTCATTAAGCACTTTATGATTATTGTCCCGTTGGTCTTGTGGTGACAAGACTGACTAATGTTCATTTATTTGTATGTCGAGGTGGTTTCCTATGTCGGGTAAAGAATTATTGGATTCCAGATAACCTAACGACGTCTATACTAGTTTGAATAAGTCTAATAACGTTATGGTTTGTATTTTAATTGTTATTTCTGCATTTCGGGACTCTAGTTACCTTTAGGATTAGGGATAATGCTGATAGTCTCTCTTGCTGCTGCTATAACGAGTTTCGCCGATTTTCTGGCTAACTTAACATTTCTCTTTCCAAAACGGATGTATAGAATTTTTTTTTTTTCTTCTTTACAACCGAGTCTCCAAAACGGTGTTGTCGACTATACTGCCAGTGTCGAGTGGTGACGGCAAAATTAATGAACCGTCGAACTTAACTTTGCGCGGTAGTTTTTAGTTGAATAGTTAAGAATATTAAAAAAAAAAATCGTGTATATTTATGTCTATGCTATATGTATTTAGTGTAGAGAAGAGATGTCACGCAACGCATTTAAAACATTGTTAGCACTCATAAAAACATATTATTATGTTGTTTATACGACAATGAGTTTTCTATTATGTGTTTTTAATTATAGCCAGTATGTTTTTGATGACTGCAAACTCATTTGTAGTTAACATCTAGTGAGTCTATGTCAACTATAACGTGTGAAGGAAAATCGCTTCTTCATTTAAATGGTGTTTACTATCTTCGTGTAATATTGAAAATTGAAGGAATTTAATTTAGGAATGTTGTTTTTAGTGCATTACGGTTCAAATATTTATGAACTACGTGTTCTTTTAGGCTTTTTTTCGATATTTTTCGAATGATCAGAGGGCGTAGTACAATTTGTACGCTAAAGAATAGACACTTTTGTAACGTTCTGCGCTCTGATTGGCTGTTCCAAGGTAACCAACCAATCAGAAGGCTAAACGTGTTAACGTTTCCACCACGTTAACTTGAAAAATACCTAACATTAGGTCCTCTAAATTAACCGTCATTAAAGGTTAAATTATACTAAATGGCGCTTTAGGATACAATTATAATCCCGGGTCTGCGGACGACCTTACCGGTTACCGGGGTTCCGGTTCGAAGCAGAAGTAGGAACGGGGTGACTTAATTTCAGTAATAGACTGACATCTTCCTGCCTCATGCAAGGTGGGAGAAGTCAATGGTTGATGATTTTGACCACTATAAAAGGAGTACAACTATGTATTATTATAATAGTTTATCTAGTATTAAAGTTTAAAAGAAATAGACATTGTTCACGCCATTATGTTTTATTAGTACAATATAAGTGCACTCATTGCGAATATATACCGCTACTTGTGGTGATCGTGTCGTTAAAGTCAATTCATTAATCCATCTGAAAATGAAACAATTATCACTTTTTACTCTGTGAATGGAATATTAAGTACCTATAGGTAATCAAATATAATAATTAAAAAAACACACAGTTTACTAAAAAATTTTCGCTCCTTGCATTGTTTTTTGCCGTATTAGGTAAGGTTTTCGGATACCCAATTACCTAATTACCTCCCCTTCCTTATATCCTCAATCCTCAAATTCCTAATCCCCAAAAGGCGAAAGTGGTTAATGTAGCACGTAAGATTTTTGTAACAATAAATTTTGACTGTAAATTAAAAAAAATGTAATGGAATGACAAAGGCACGGACAAGAGTCCGTGGAGAATAAGAAATGTAATATTAAAAAAAAAACCCAAAAGGCCGGCAACGCCCTTTGTAACGCCTCTGGTGTTTCGATGATGTCTATGAGCAGCGCCGATTGCTTACCATCAAGTGATCCTTCCACTCGTTTATCGGCATAACAAATATAAAAATAATAACCCAAAATGGCTTAAATCCTTCTTACCAAGTCGCCTGGTCCGATGAAGTCGAGCCCTATCTCACCTTCAGCTACGGGTTTTCCGTCCGGGCCAATACCTGATAACGAATTGTTAATAATACACACTCATATTAAAAATTCCATAAGGATCTTCTGATAGACTATGGACTTCTTTTATAAAAGAAGGGTCTCTATATACATGTATTCTTTCTCATCATCATCACCACATGACTTTAAGGTACCTATCTAAATCACTACATAGTATAGAACAAAGTCGCTATTCACCGTCTGTTTGTCTCTATGTATGCTTAGATCTTTAAAACTACGCAACGGATTTTGATGCGTTTTTTTTTTAATAGATCTTCAGGAATGTTTATATGTATAATGAATGCATATTGCACCCGTGCGAAGCCGGGGCGGGTCGCTAGTTAAGTAAAATTTAATAACCTTAGATTACAAAATGTACGGCGCAAATCTCGAAAACAGCTTGACTAAATTGGATATATGTTTTTGTTGAGATTCTGTCAATAGTCAATGGTTGGTTGGTGTTTTAGAAAGAATGATTTTTTTTTTCTTGTTCTTATTTCAATTGATTTGGGATCAGTGCAATTTTTTTTTCCATGTAATTTTTCACAGGACCGGCTTTTAGACGTTTCAATAGTGCCTGTATGTAGACTAATTGACATGATTGCTTTGAATTTGACTTTTATTTAATTCACACTCTAAACAGTATGCGCATTGTAATTGTAAATAAACCAAGGACTTAAGAAATATGTCAATCTCATACAAAAATACAATAATAAACTTCTTACCGAATGTACCGCCACGATTGATAACGACGCCAGCACCTACTGAAAATTTTAATAATTCTATTATAATTTTCGTAAGATACATTAAATTAATGTTTACTGGCTTACTCCATATGAGCCCCAGGATGGTTTGAAACTAGTCGAGTTTCCTGAGTACTAGTAAGACTTTATTTTACGTTTAAAGTAATCAAAACGAGTACGCGTTCGGCGCTGTGTTATTATGCATAAGATAAACTAGACATGTGCCTAGGGTACCAGGTGGCGCACGGGCGCCGCGCGATTTGCATCCCAACTGCGCATAGAGTGATGGCGGCGACAAAACAATTAGGGGCGCCTATAAGGTGTTTGTCAAGGACGCTTTCTAGGTTTAATCCACCTCCGCGAGTTCGTCTTTTACAGTTACGTGACTAACTGCCAATTTCTATAACATGTCTCAATCCAAAATGTGTGGATTAAGATCGATTTTTGACAGTAACTCCGTACAAGTACTGTCAATAATCTATATTGACAGATTTTGGATTAAGACAGTTTATTGAAATTGGCAGTAAGCCGGTCAACATAATAGGTAATTAAAAATAAACATTTAAATAATCAATTCATTTAACTCGTCGAGTACCGGTTTTGTATCTTTTTTTGTGTCTATTTTTTTATTTGTGTCTATAATGACGGTATCGACGAGTTAACCGCACGGTTGGCGCGGTAATTGTCCAACTGGCTGCCGCGCAAAGTGTCACAGGTGTGATTCCCGCACGGAACAACTCTTTGTGTGATCCACAGATTGTTGTTCCCGGTCTGGGTGGGGCAACGTTTTTTTTTTTACAAATAAATATAAGTTAGTTATGGAATCGAATAAGACTGACAACGTCGCTGTTCAGGATTAACTTGTAACTTTAGGTGACGGTAGAACATAGTGACGTGATTACCACAAATCATAAAGGTGAATTTTTGCTGAACTATCCCCATAAACATTGTTTGATTGTACCTATCTTCTAAAGTAATTTTATCACCATCCGATTCTAGTCTTTACGTCAAAGTATTTACGGCGATTGTTTAGTGTCGACTTTCAGTTTTTGTAGGTTAGGCTATTTCATATTTATGATTTTACGATTGTACTTAGTAATTGGACACTTGCCTTTTCCATCTCCTTGTTGCATGCTCTGAAAGTGAAAAAAGGCAATTGTACTGTGGTTGACCTTTTTTTAAGGGGGGGAAATTATCGAATGACTTCTCCCGTTAGGCGAGGCGGGAGGAAGTGTCAGACTTTCTTACTGAAAACCACCCCGTTCCTAGTCCTGCCCTTCGAACTGGAGCCCCGGTAACCCGTTGAGTTCTCCGCGGCGTGGTTGACCTTTAGTGTGGACTCTTAAATCATTCTACGTTGCAGCAAAAATTATATTAATTTGTAAACTTACATATTCAATCATCGTGACAACTAATACGAGTAGAAACAGTTTCTTGAACATTTTGCTCAGCTGTGGTCACTTTTACTTCGCAGTACAAATTATGGAACTGTTCATAAACAAACAGTTAGTGGTACTATTTATACCTTTCCTCTGTAACGTGCTAATATATTTTCATATTATGCGATTTTATCTTCATTTACGATGTATAATAAAAACTTTCATTAAAACGTACCAATAAATGTACTAAAACCAATAATAAATAAATAAATTGTGAACAATAAATTCAAATAAACCTCCTATTGTTACAGGTATACCAATGTCAGAGAAGTTCAGTTTTTGTCTCAATACCCTGCTCTCAGACATCGCCACGAAACAGCCCTCACTTCGAGAGGAAATCATTACAGCGCAAATTGAACTCATGTCCAACCTGACAAAGATCATAATCAGTTGCCAGGAAAGCAAGGACTATTCTAGCACTACATCTAAACTGCAGCTTTGCAAGAGTACCATACCTATTTTAATTGGATTGGCTCGGTCTATGGGTCGATATGCAACAGTAGATCCTCCACTTCTCTGCCGGCTGTTCCCTCAGCCTCCAAGTCCAGTTAAGACGAAGGAACCGGAGCCAAACTTCGAATATTCCACTCTGGACAAGAAAAGGAAATTCAACCAGTTCAGGCCTATCATTCCAAGGTCTTTATCAGGAAATTTGAATCCGAACAACGAGATTCTTATAGAAAATGGTACTGATGTCGTTGACAGTACTGGAGGGACTCTCAAAAGAGGTTCCCTCCATAGCTACAACTCAGTTCCTTACGATCCTACGACCTACTTCTTCCACAAGTTCGGATCCAGTTTCAACCAGTTTCCGTACATGAGGTTTTCGGAGTCTCCAGAAAAGAGGATCAATGTGCAATTCTACGTGACTTACCTCCAGTCAATATTGTCTTTAGCAAAGAAGATGCTTACCAAAGATTTGTTGGCGTTTTTGGATGAAGAGGCTGAAGATATTTACGCTTCTGGACAAATTCAGGTAATGTCACGTAAAAAAATAGCAGACTTCTTGTTACTTAGGTACTCCAGAAGATTAATAATATTTGTTTCTACTTCCAGGTGTTCCCATACAAGTCCTTTTCGGAGACGTTGAATTTGGTGATGGTGACTCTCTTGCGAGAATTGCTGCAGCATCAGAAGGACTTGCCTGGTCCCTTCACCAAAGATGTTCAGGTAAGAATTAGAATGTCAATTTCTTATGAAAACCTTGAAATGCAAGGTTCTGTTACCATTTCCCAAGCCATTCGTTTTTTCACATTTGACAACCACTGGGTAATAGTGTTCTTTGAAAACTTTTAAAGTTCTGTTTCCAATGCGCTTATTAAGCGTAGATAAATATTATTGCGAATCTTCTTATGTAGAGGTAGAACAAGAATCAGACACACTGCAACGGCATACTAAATCAAGAACAATTATTTTATTACAGGAATTTGTAAAATGCCTCTTCTTGAGTGGTCAAACAGAACTCCAGAGCCGACATCACGATGCTTCTGAAAGAGAAGATAGAGAGAGTAACTTCGCAACTGTCAATAAGTTCAAGGTCAACGTAATGGCTAACTCAGCCTGTGTCGACCTCCTAGTCTGGGCTATCGGCGATGAAACAGGTAATTTTAAACCTTCTCTTCTGCAGATACAGTCTAATTCAGATTGCAGTATAGAGTTATTTTGTATCTTTTATAATTGTATTTTATTATTCCTCTGTTTTTATTCTAAGTCTATTTTCGCTTATCTATTTATTAATTTCTTTATTTTGTCAAGTTTCTAAAGAACTTTTTTCAATCGCTCTTGCCCTGGGACATTGAGAAATAATGTTGTTATATACAAAAGGCAATAACGTGATGTTAAACTATAAACTGTGAATTTGTGAGCCTAATTCAACAGAATTTGGACCTCTTATCGAAATTATTTATTGACCCTTATTACAGTATTCATAAGCATATAGCAATGTCCAAAACAAGGATGTCACATAAATGAAACGCATTCTTAACTAAAAATGACGGTTTATTCTCGAAAATATAATTAGAAAAGTTCTACTAGTTCAGAATCACAGAGGGATCGGGCATACTGCTGAAGTGCTGACCTACCGGGCACACTGCTCATGCGGTAATGTCGCGCAGCGTAGATCAATTTCTACTCGACTTTTTTTACTATATCTTTAGAAACTTGACACGTATATCTATTTTATAATATATGTATTGTATTATGGTGTTGCAGTTGACGGGGACTATCATGTACCAGCTCTTATAAACGCTCTAACCATATTAATAGGTACCGGCGAGTGATAGAGTGACACCCTTGTACAAACTAACTGCAAGCCTACTAATATCAGTCTTATGCCTTTGTGTATAGAGTTTTATTTCGCAAGGTTGATTAACTTGATATATAACTTACTGAAATGTGCATTGATTTGTTTTTCAAAATTATGAGATGAATGTCATAATTGGGTACTTGCCTAGTCAAATTCAATACTTTTTTCGAACTGTCAAAAACCGACAGTTTTCTATGAATTTTGTACGAGATTGTGTATTGTGACGTCACGTTTTCTTAGCATCAAACAGCAAAGTTATTTCTTTAAAAAATGCTGTTAAAATACTAAAATTAAGTTGGTCATAAAATCAATTAATGAAAGTTTTATTTTTTTGATATTTTTATTGTATTAAACAGTCGAAATAATTTATTTTTTTAAGGTGAGTACTCAATTTATGCAATTTTGCATTCCTCATTGGTCGATTAGTTGCAAGATTAACACGATATCAGGATTGATTTCTGATGCTATTATGACATTTCAATTTCCGCCTTGTATGAGTGTTCTAGTCCAATGTTTTTTATTTGATTGCAAGCTCGTCTCCCTATACAATTAACACCCTATAAATACTGAATATACTATAAATACTGGATACTGAAAGTCTACTCAATTAAGCTGTACTTAAATATCGTCCCATCTAAATTAAGTAAAATCGCGGGTTACTTACGTGAATATACTGAGAAAAACTCTACTAGTTTCGAACCACAGAGGGGTTCTTCCTCATGAGCAGCGTGCGCGGTCGCGTCGCGTCAGTATATTCACGTGAGTAACCCGCGATTTTACTTAATTTAGTATGTCTCACGATAGTTATTATATGACAATATTATGTACTATATAAAAACATCGTCCCATCTCTGTTCATAGAATTTGTAGAGACAGGCAGAACTATACTTAAGCGCGACTTAAAAATGAGTAGCGTTTGAGTATTTGAACATATGTTAATAAAATGTCGATACAAGCAATCTAAAGACAAGAGGTATAAATCAAATAAAATGTTAGTCCTTTAAAAATAAAGTTGAATTTCGCAAAGCCGATATTGCCATAACTTTTAGTGCTAACAAATCAATATTATCTATTTAATTCAATTCTTTATTTAATTAACTAAAAATCGCGGGTTACTCGCGTGAATATACTGATAAAAGCTCTACTAGTTTCGAACCACAGTCATGGCTATAGTAGGCTGCGCGACATAGCCGCGACCGCGCACGCTGCTCATGAGGAAGAACCCCTCTGTGGTTCGAAACTAGTAGATTTTTTCTCGGTATATTCACGCGAGTAACCCGCGATTTTTAGTTAATTTAGTATGTCTCACGATAGTTATTATAAAAACAATTCTTTACTTGCGTTATTTTGGTTTTTATCATTCTTATTAATAACTAACATAATACATAGTATTTAATTGCCCCCAATTACTATTCCGATATCCTTGTAGTTAGTATCTAATATAACGTAACAGTGAAACAAGTGAAACAATTTATGTATGTATTTAAAACAACAGTAAAGATGGATACCACAATAAAAACTAACAAATATTGAAAAGTGACTTTATGTCGTTGTAATATAGTACATTTTCCTATAACAATTTAATCTGTTATTTTTCTCCTATCAATCGTCATCCCGCTATTATGTACCATTTTCATCTATGTCTTCAATCAATCCTACACATAAAACCTTAAGCAATATTAATTGCAACCTTATCTCGTTGCCACACAGTCCAGTTTCGCACAATAAACTGTATACAAGTTTTCTATATCTATACTATACAGGGTGTGTATTTTATGATATGATTTATTTTACAGTTGAAAATATTGGTTTATTTTGTAGGTGCGGATTCGTTATGCGGACGTTTAACTGAGAAGATAAACTCCAATCATAACCACAAGTTGATACTTGCACATATGCCGCTGTTGATGGTCTGTCTTGAGGTAACTATGTTATAGTATGTCGTGTGTTTAATGTGTAGACCTTTTTCAAGGCCCAAGTAGGCCGGTCTTATTAGACCCCAATAGTTTGATATTTAATAGTAGTAATGATATCAGTAAATTCGAGATTCGTTGCATACATTCTCCTGCCTGCCTCGTTGGCCGAGTGGTAGCAAGTGCGAATGCCGGCCAATGGGTCTCGGGTTCTATTCCCGGGTCGGCCAAAGTACTACAGGGTTATAAAAAAAAAGAATTCTCAGTAGTAGCTAGGATTCTGGAATTGTGCCCGGTATATGGCAATAGGCTCACCCCTTATTACATGGGACTCATAACATAAATAGTGAAAAGTGGGTGTTACATTGTACAGTGGCATAACGTGCACCTCTGCCTACCCTTTCGAGGATAAAAGGCGTGATGTTATGTGAACAATCGAAACAATTTATTCTTGATTGAGGAAAGTACCCAATTTTGTACAGAAACATTACTTCACACTAACATGAATCTCTCTGTCCACAGGGGCTCGGTAAACTAGCAACAAAATTCCCGACAATAGCGAACACATCGATATACTGTCTCCGAGACTTCCTCGTGACCCCTTCGCCGATACTCTTCAAACTACACAAGTTGGAGCTGGAGAAAACTGGCAAGGAACATATGAAGGTCACACGTAAGTGTTAATGCCAGTTCACGTTTGGGATACGACATAACATCACGCCTTGTTTTCTTTGCTAGGGTTTGGTGTGTTCAGGATTGTGCTGATGATTCTACATAGCTATGTGGATATTCTTTTTTAAATCTAAAAACTCGATAGGATCTTTTATCTATCTCCTGTTATGTGATTTTCATGAAAACATCTACTGATAAATGGTTAATGTTTTTCTTTCGGCTGACTCACGTAATTACTTGACGAGGATAACTCTATTAGTTTCAAGCCATGCTTGGGGTTCATATTCATAAGTAGCAATACGCGACGCGGCGTTTGCTACTACTGGCTATCTGTCGCGTTGCTACTGGCTACTCGAGTTTGCGCGTATCGCGTCCTTTGCCGTGATTTCGCGTATTTTTATCTAAGGGCTTAGTAGGAGATTCGAGATCGAAACGAGACGGCGTTCTGAGGGCCAAGCACGAATAACTATTGATTTCGTATCGTAACAGTATCGAGCGAGTAAAGCGCTCTGATTGATTGGTTCACTTGAGCCGGCCAATCAGAGCGCCGAACGCGCTCGATACTATTTCGTTACGAATGCGATAGTTATTCGTGCTTGGCACTCTGTGCTCAGAGGTCTTAGTACGAGTTTGTTTTACGTTTAAAGTATTCGAAACAAGTACTCGTTCGGCACTCTGATTGGCCGGCGGCAATAAACCAACCAATCAGAGTGCCGAACGTGTACTCGTTTCGAATACTTTAAACGTAACACAAACTCGTACTAAGGATTCTGATTGGTTTGTTCATTGGAGCCGGCCAATCGCAGCGCCGAACGAGTACTCGTTACGTTTACTTTAAACGTAAAAGAAACTCGTACTAAGGCCTCTAAGCCGGCTACCAGCCCGCCATCTGTCGTAATGCTGCTCATGGATATGCGACTCTAGTATATAGTTGAAACTAGACGAGTTCCTCGTCAAATAATTACGTAAGTAAACCGAAAAATATTAATTTATTTAGTATGTCTCACGAAAGTTATAAAATGAATATTATAAAATGGTTTAGAAAGTAAAATGATCTATAGGTACCTACTTACTTCTTTCTTTTTCTATATCTTCTAAGTTTAAAAGTATTTTTTACTTTTTAATAGACGATACTACGCTTCGGACATATTTTCGTGAGTGTTTCCTATTTTTTTTAATGGTAGTGAGACTTATATTTATATTTTTTTAATCTATTATACTTTTTAAGTATACAAAAGGAAAATATAATAAATATATATGGTACATAGTTGTTTTAGTTTATTAGCAACTTGCTTTCAGAGTTAACTGAGTTGAGATTAGTATATTTTAGTGAATAGACATTATTCTATAGTAGAGCATTTAGCAATGCGAAAAAACTCCATAGCAAATAGGTATGTCCATTTCTGTTATTTAGTAAACTGCTTCTTAATAATTAACGTAATGGTAATGAAATCTTCTATTATATAAAGATGAATTGCTGTTCGTTAGTCTCGTGAACTGCTGACCGATTTGGCTAATTTTAGTCTTGAATTATTTGTGGAAGACAAGGTTTAAACGGTGAGAATAAAAAAAAAACAACACCATTGATTGAAATAGTAGAAGTCCGCCGGGTCAACTAGTTTTAACTACAAATAACGGTCTACTCATGTAAATATACTGAGAAATGCTCTGCTAGTTTCGAGTTACAGTGGGTCTCTTCCTCGACTATGACGTCGACGCGACCGCGCACGCTGCTCATTAGAGAAGAGTCTGTCTATGACTCGAAAGTAGAAGAGCTTTTCTCAGTATATTCACGTGAATAAACCATTTTTTTTAATTAATTCAGTATGTCTTATAATAGTTATTACATATGTAAAAAAATAAAGAAACTTTCTCAAATTCATTATCTTTTTCTCTCTTCTAAAAAATAACACACACCTAAATCTAATGAAAAGAAAACAGGCGTGATGTTATGTTTGAAATATGACCGAGTTCCTTTTAGTTCAGGGCAAAGAACTCCAAGGGTTAACAGAGACAGGGGTGCCGGTGAAGTCGACGCCGTTCGAGAAACTTCGAGACGCAGCCATTGAAAATCTATGCGTGGCTCTAGAAGCCGCTTTGACTGTTGACCCGTACTGTGTGCCGGCGCTCGTTGGGTCAGTCAGTAACCGACTGTTTACTGCTGAGACTAGTGATAGGTGAGGATTTATGTATGTTTATTTTGTTCTTTATTTATATTCTGTGATTACTGTCACAAGCAGCAGAAAAGAGGTCAATAAGTATATTGATACTAATTAGTATATTGAGATCAATATGTATACTGACATCTTTTCTCCTTCCTGCTATGCTATGATATGCTATGCTATAAGACGCAAAAATAATATACTGTTGTCTGTCTTCTCGCATGTCAAGGGTAGTTTAGTAATTGGGTAGATTCCAAGGTATCAAAATTAAAAATCTAACTAGGCCGTCAGTTAGATAATAAAAAAATATTAGACAATTGCAACACTTAGATAAAATGGCGCTAAGTTTAGGAGTGGGAGGTTGTTACGTCATAACGTGCTACAAAATATGGCACGCTGTGACGTCACACGATATTTAAAATTAAGATATCGTCGAAAGTATTTATTGTTGTGAGAAAAGAAAAAATACGTGTCTAATGTTTTAAATTAATGTGCGAGACGGACATTAAATAGGAAGCTACCCTATTGATGCACCGTTAGCGCAGTGATGTCAACCCACATTGAACAAGTGTGGTGATTATAGCTCAAACCGATTCCGTGCGAGAAGAAGTCTTTAGTCAGCAGTGGTCACTTATAAGCTGTTGATATGATTGATTGAGTATTTTAACAGTTGCGCAACGTGTCGTGGATTCGACTCCTGTACGGAACATCTCTTCAGTGTGATGTATAAATTATTATTTCGGGCCTTTTTTTTTAAGGGGGGAAAACCATCCAATGACTTCTCCCGCCCGGGTGAGGCGATAGGGAGTGTCAGATTCTTACTGACTAAAATAATAATAATAATAATAATAATAATAATAATAATAATAATAATAATTCTGGCAACACCACGACATGTCAACGTACAAAATTTTACTCTGTTATTTTTTTGGTTTATTTTTATAAATAATTCACACGTTTCCATATAGTCACGATAACAATTACAAAACCTTTTTATAATAATATATACTTACCACAAAATCAACATCTAATAGCATTATACAAACAATAAATGAAGAAAAATGGAATTTGACAGTGACAAATTGACAACATGCAAAACGAAGATTATGAAACAGAAAAATAAAATGTTACGTTGATGTTGACGAGAGCCAGAAGACGACAAGGCGCACCCCCACCACCTCCGGACTCGTCGCTCAGCTCCGCCTCGCCGTCACCGGACCCCAGCTCCGCAGGATCACCGGTGACAGCAGTTGCGTCGAGCTCGAGCGACGACTATTTCTCCCCGCCGACGTCGCCGACACCTGTACGTCGGCCGGGGAGAGGCCGGCCACCGACGGGCTTGGGAGCCAGGGGCCAACAGGCCCCGGGACGGGTCCCCGCTACCGGTGGTTGTGTGCGGCGCATGAAATGGTCTCAAACCATAAATGAGAACGTCATGCGCTCGTACTACGGTGCTACAGAGGGAGGGACTAACCTCACTGCGTACCGTGAAAGGATGCTGTCTATGTTTCAGGTTCTTGAGCCATCTATCAGCGTCTCGGCCCAACGACTGTCGGATCAGGTGCGGGTCATCCAACGCAATCGCAGATTGGATGAGGCTGCGCTTGATCGGCTACGTCTAGAAGCACTGCGCAATCGTGTCGTCCCCGCACCACCACAATCGGTGGCACAAACATTTGTAGTGTCACAATGTGTGACGGCAACCACCCCTATCGTTGGAGTGGAGGATGACAGGGTTGAACAAGTGAGTACTCAGTGCAATGAACGACTGAGGAGTGCTTTGGAGGATGCGGTTCGTGAGTACAGACTTGCTCCTAGTAATTTAAGACCGAAATTACCACGTTTGCCCATGTGTAGAAAAAATAGGGCGCTGGTGAGTGCCTTGGATTCGCTACTTAAAAAATATTTTGAGAGTAGCGAAAACCTCTATGATACACACTCAATCTTGTACTGTGGGGCGGTAGCTGCTTGTCGAGTGGCTAACGTCAGATTCCCAAATCTTGACGCAGCAGTCCGACCAAAACCAGCAGTACCTGCCTGGCAGTATAGGATAGAGCGTCGTATCAGTGAGGCCAGGGTACTCATTGGCAAACTATCCTGCTTCAGGGAGGGCAATACTCGCCCTAGAGTGATGCGCTTTGTAAGACGTGCATTT